AAAGATACTGTTTGGTCATAGAAACATTTTCTGCAAACTTAAAATCATATTTATACATGCTACTACACAAATGCCATTATTCCGAACCTATTGCTTATTGAAAAAAAAAATCAAAGAGATCTTTAACAAAGGTCAAGGTCAATTTGAAAACGATTGTCCTTCATCCACGAACATTGAAAAACCAGTTTCAACAGCCTTGACCTTTTTGTTATTGACAAGAAGTCAATAAATTAAAGATTGCAACAAATTTGACCCTTGTGACCTTTAAAAAGTGAAAATATGAATAACATGAACATAATTGGTAATTCATTCCAGCATACTACGGGCCGGTTATCAGAACTTTTTGGATATTAAGAAATCCATTTAAAGATTATTAAACATTTATCCCTGTGACCTTGAAAATGGAACAAGGTCTTCCATTTGATCAAACATTCTTGACAGGAATTTTTAAATACTGAGCATATTGAAATACTGCAAACTTAGAAATTCATCCATCCTTGGTCAAGTCAATGTAAAAATCGTACTGGTTATTGACAAAGTATAAGCACATTTTTCTTCCTTTTGATTAAAAACTAATCACTGTTTCAATGCTTGCAGGTGATTTTTCATCAAGAGACAATTCATGCAAGATACAAATCTGCATTTGCTCTTTCTTGACGTTTAAAAATACTTTTAATCATTTATATTTTTGGTATCAACAATTTGAAAAATAGAAGTAACTCCATTGAATGTTTTGTGTATAAAAGTTCTCCACAAAATGGAGCTGTACATTATAAATATATACAAAACGAATATATATATATTCTATACAAAACTGTACTATGATATATATACACACACCTTGATCCTAGTTTATTCAAGATTGTTGCATGAAGGAATGACAACGGATGCACAAGATGTTAAAAATTTATGATACAAATCAAGTGGTCAAAATTAAGTATTAACATAAAGAGCCATGTTTGACAATGTTAATAAAAAGTTGGTAATAAATGACTTCACATTAGAACTTTGATCAATCCATCATCTACAAACTGCTCCCCAATGATGACAAGACAATCTCTTGTAGGTTTCTGACCCACAATCAGCTTTTCTACAAATTAGAACAGCAGAAATAGCATCAAAGAGTTTTAGAGTTTCCGACCTGCATTCAGTTTATCCACAATTATGAAAGTTTTTTTTCCAGTACATCTTCAATTTTTCTTTTCCAAAATTTTTCCATCATTAACCCTGCTTGGGTCAATTGCTTTCCCACATTGATGTGGTGTTGGTCTTATTTTTCTGTTTCTTGAAGAGCAGCAGACTTTCGTATTTTTTATGGGCTTCGATATGTATTCAAATTTTTTGGCGATATCCAACACAAAAATCACATGGCTCAATGGCACCTACAATGTCTGGTGATGTCATGTGTAAATCCTCATTTTCATCCAGTTCAGCGAATGATGACTCTTGGATAAGGCCTGTAATAAAGATATCTTCATATAATAATGGCCACTTCAGTCATTTTATTTCTACTTAATTGTTTTAAACTCATATTGTTCAGATAGTTATTTACAGTCCTTTGGCAATGTGAAAATATACAAAAAATACTGGGTCTAGGTCATGAAGGTTAGAAGGAAGGAATTACTAAGCCTGGTGATAACAAAATAGTGTTTTAAGGTTATTCAGAAAAGATGGTGGTCCAAGAAAGAATCTGTTTTCATTAGAACTGATGCACTTTTCATTACTAAAATATTTTAATTCACACTTTTAGTATAGTAGTAATGATTCTCTGGTGTGTCAGAGCAGGAAACAATACTAGGACTCAAGATTGATGTACAGATAAAAAACTTTGAAATATTCTTTGGATTAGTAAAAATTTGTTATTTTATAAGTTGAATTGAAGCACCATCAATCTGATTCAAAGGAAACAAACCTTCTATTTGGATGTCTTGTAGGGATTTATCCGAAACTCTCCCACACGGTCTTGTAGTAGTATCTTGGCTATTTGTTTTTTCTAAGACATCATCTGTGCACCTGAAGCATAACAATGTTACACATTTATAAAAATCATATTTGAAATATAATCCCTATGATTGGTAGCACAGCACTATATTGTCAAAGAATTATGGGAATTTTTCAAAGAAAATAAAAGTTTATATATTATTTATCTAGAAATAATTAACATCAATTTCAAAACTTTTCCTGAAAAATATCTATGGCTGAACAAATTAGTGCATTTGTTCTTAGCCGATATTTTTGTAACTAGCCAACTTTTTCGCAATGGTTTTAAATGACATGTGTATCGGTGGAGTTTCACTAGTTTTTTTTGTTAGTGTTTCTTGCCACCAACTTTTCTTGGCCAAAAGTATTGCATTTTATCAAAAAATTTTGGCTAGAGGAAAACTTTTTTTTCAGATGCAAAACAAGGCAAAAAAATTCTGCTGATAATAGAAGCAAATTTTCAAAATCCAATATCAATGTTGCTGATCCATTTATGCCAAGTTTCGTAGCAACTGACAAATGGTTTATGAGAGAAGTTACAGGTTGATAAATAAAGTGGAACAAGAGGCTTTGTGCAATAAAGGTTAAAGGATGGTCATCAAGTGTCAAAAAAAGGTAATTGTGACACTGAATAAAGACTGTCAATACATGCATTCCATCAAAACTGTCATCATATATTGATTATTCTTATATAGTTATTTTAAGGTTATTTTCGCGGTGTGGCCATGGTGATATTTTTGTTCATTATATCACCAAAAATCAGCTTTACTGGTGAAATTTTCATAGTGTTTACATGTGATCAAATTATAAAGGACTTCCGAGTTGGAATTTGCCGAGATGCATGTGGTATGTTACCATGACAGTGTTGTTGATTGTAGCTATATCCACAGGCCTTCTTATTAGCGAGTACTATAGTTTCAGTTTGGTGTAACGCTATGTGCCTAATAAAAGGCTTGACCAATGCACCATTCATTCCAACAATTCAGATATAACAAATTAAATAAATACCTTTCCTTACACTGTGATAACCACCTGGTTCTCCACAGTTTCTTTTCAAATGTTGTACAATCTCCAATCAAATGCTCGACATCTTCCTCCTCTTGTCACTCTTTGTAGTCTTGTCAATCTGCAAATGGTTTAATAGGATATCTTGCACATTTTCTGGCTGCATTCTATTTAATGACTATTGAAACTATTGCATCTAAATACCTTTACATACTGTCCTGACACTATCAAGGTTACATGAACATTCAGATATCAACCTAGTTAGATTCATATGGGATTTTTTTCATTCTAATATTGTATGTCATTTGTATATGGAAATTGACGAAATGTACTCTTTGATGGAATATTTTGATCTTGCACATGTCCATATGAAAAAGAAACAGGAGAATATCTACAAGGAACTTGTTATGATGATTGATAGCGCTTTCAGCAGTGGATCATATGAGCGATTCATTTTCCTCAGCTTTTCAAATTCAACTTCATAAATGAATAAAATCTTACCCAATAGCCTGGAGCTCTCCAGGTCGGCTTTGATTGTACATTGAGCTTGTTAATGTCATCAGGCTCTGGAAGTTTGTGACTTTTCCTATACATCCTCTGCTGCAGAAAAACCTTGGCCATTTTGTTACTCCTGTTGCCCAGTAGATTGCCATTGCCTGCAGGAGGTCTTCCGCTTCACCATGTGTTTTTTGGTCTCTCTGTATTATTACCAGACCAAATTTTCCAGAAATCATACGCTTAGTGTCAAAGCCAAGTTTAATTGCATTGCTTGGGTGCTTGGGATTGTCGTCATCTTCGACTGAAGGAGATGCAACCAATAAGGTGGCCTCCACAATTGCATCAAAATGTTCAGGTTTCAGATAAGGACTTGACTCTTTACCATTAGGACCTAATGGAATCAGTTTCAAAGTTTTTTTTTAAATTAAGCAGTAATCTACCAACAATTTCTGATGGATAGCTGGCTCTCTTCAAATTATTCCAATTCTTCTCCATCCACTGGTTTCCTAATTGGGTGATGATACTGTTATTTCTTGCAGTCTTTCCTATATTGCCCATCTTTATTTTCCCAAATACTTCTTTCACAAAATTCCTGCTTGTGATTGGTTGAATTCTTTTGAAAAATGTATCTGATGCTGTTTAAAGTTTAGATGAGGTTTTCGTTCAACATCCTTTGTCCTTGCCGAACAAGTCCGATTTATTTCAATTTCAAATTCTACAGACCCGGAGGTCCACTACAGACCCGGAGGTCCACTTATAGAATGGATAACAAATATAACACACAAGAATAAATATCAGTCACATGAAACATAGAACTATTAGATGTACAAAATATGGAACTAATGGTAAAAGGCATTCATGAGTCATGCTTTAAATGTGGCGAGACACAAATAAAACATCACAGTCTGAAACATGATCAAGTGAGTTAACATTTGACCGAGTTCTGTTTAAAACACTATATTTTCTAACATTTCAACTTCCCTGGCAGTAAAATTGAATTCATCGAGAAGATCGTAGATTACGACCATGTACTAAAAAACACATTTACTCGACTAAATATGGACAATCAAAAACACTATTTACACATTTAAATTAAAAAGAAATACACCGTCTCAAAATAATCGTCTATGTTCCAAGCTGGAGAGATTGAAATACTTGTAAATTTCAGTGAAAGACAATGAAATGAAGTCAACATGTGCCTTAGAATATAAAAATCTCAAACTTTGGCTGAACAGCTTCGATTTGGTGAATTAAGTTTGGAGAGGTGACCAGATCTGACAACAGTACTCCTTACATGGCTGATGTATAAAGATCTTAAAACATTAACTTGGGAAAAACTTTTACATGAACGTTTAATAAAACCGAGCATTCGCATGGACTTTTCAGTTTCCAGTTTCTAGAGATGCCATCGGCCGAAAGCTGTACGAGAATGAGAGGATGGAATATGACGCCTCAAAAAGAGGCCATCGGGACGAAAGAGGTACAAGAATGAGAGAATGGAAGATGAGACAAAAAATGTAAGTATCATACATCTTCTACTGCAGTCGAATGTCTATATAACCATCCATACATCTTCTGCTGCAGTCGAATGTCTACATAACCATCCATACATCTTCTGCTGCAGTCAAATGTATAACCATCTATACATCTACTGCTGCAGTCGAATGTCTACATAACCATCCATACATCTTCTGCTCAAGTCGCATGTCTATATAACCATCCATACATCTTCTGCTCAAGTCACATGTCTATATAAACATCCATACATCTTCTGCTCAAGTCACATGTCTATAACCATCCATACATCTTCTGCTCAAGTCACATGTCTATATAACCATCCATACATCTGCTCAGGTCACATGTCTAAAACCATCGATACATCTTCTGCTCCAGTCACATGTCTAAAATCATCGATACATCTTCTGCTCAAGTCACATGTCTATAACCATCCAGACATCTACTGCTCAAGTCATGTCTATATAACCATACTACTGCTGCAGTCGAATGTCTAACTGTCCATACATAACCATCTATACATCTACTGCTGCAGAAGCTGTAAGAGAATGAGAGAATAGAAGATGACACCTCAAAAAGAGGCCATCGGGACGACAGGTACGAGAATGAGAGGATGGAAGATGACACCTCCAAAAGAGGCCATCGGGACGAAAGAGGTACGATAATGAGAGGATGGAAGATGACACCTCAAAAAGAGGCCATGGGGACGAAAGAGGTACGATAATGAGAGGATGGAAGATGACACCTCAAAAAGAGGCCATCGGGACGACAGGTACGAGAATGAGAGGATGGAAGATGACACCTCAAAAAGAGGCCCTGGGGACGAAAGAGGTACGATAATGAGAGGATGGAAGATGACACCTCAAAAAGAGGCCATGGGGACGAAAGAGGTACGATAATGAGAGGATGGAAGATGACGCCTCAAAAAGAGGCCTTGGGGACGAAAGAGGTATGAGAAGATGGAAGATGACACCTCAAAAAGAGGCCTTGGGGATGACAGAGGTATGAGAAGATGGAAGATGACACCTCAAAAAGAGGCCTTGGGGATGACGGAGGTATGAGAAGATGGAAGATGACACCTCAAAAAGAGGCCTTGGGAACGAAAGGTACGAGAATGAGAGGATGGAAGATGACACCTCAAAAAGAGGCCATGGGGACGAAAGAGGTACGATGATGAGAGGATGGAAGATGACACCTCAAAAAGAGGCCATGGGGACGAAAGAGGTACGATGATGAGAGGATGGAAGATGACACCTCAAAAAGAGGCCATGGGGACGAAAGAGGTATGAGAAGATGGAAGATGACACCTCAAAAAGAGGCCTTGGGGACGAAAGAGGTACAAGATGGAAGATGACACCTCAAAAAGAGGCCATCGGGACAAAAGAGGTACGAGAATGAGAGGATGGAAGATGACACCTCAAAAAGAGGCCATGGGGACGAAAGATGTATGAGAAGATGGAAGATGACGCCTGAAAAAGAGGCCTTGGGGACGAAAGTGGTACAAGAATGAGGGGATGGAAGATGACACCTCAAAAAGAGGCCTTGGGGACGAAAGAGGTACGATAATGAGAGGATGGAAGATGACACCTCAAAAAGAGGCCATGGGGACGAAAGAGGTATGAGAAGATGGAAGATGACACCTCAAAAAGAGGCCTTGGGGACGAAAGAGGTACGAGAAGATGGAAGATGACACCTCAAAAAGAGGCCTTGGGGACGAAAGAGGTACAAGATGGAAGATGACACCTCAAAAAGAGGCCTTGGGGAGGAAAGAGGTATGAGAATGAGAGGATGGAAGATGACACCTCAAAAAGAGGCCATGGGGACGAAAGATGTATGAGAAAATGGAAGATGATGCCTGAAAAAGAGGCCTTGGGGACGAAAGAGGTACAAGAATGAGGGGATGGAAGATGACACCTTAAAAAGAGGCCATCGGGACGGAAGGGGTACGATAATGAGAGGATGGAAGATGACACCCAAAAAAGAGGCCATCGGTCAGAAGCTGTACGAGAATGAGAGGATGGAAGATGAGACAATAAATGTAAGTATCATACATCTTCTGCTGCAGTCGAATGTCTACATAACCATCCATACATCTTCTGCTGCAGTCAAATGTATAACCATCTATACATCTACTGCTGCAGTCGAATGTCTACATAACCATCCATACATCTTCTGCTCAAGTCACATGTCTATATAACCATCCATACATCTTCTGCTCAAGTCGCATGTCTATATAACCATCCATACATCTTCTGCTCAAGTCACATGTATATAACCATCCATACATCTTCTGCTCAAGTCACATGTCTATATAACCATCCATACATCTTCTGCTCAAGTCACATGTCTATATAACCATCCATACATCTTCTGCTCAAGTCACATGTCTATATAACCATCCATACATCTACTGCTCAAGTCGCATGTCTATATAACCATACTGCTGCTGCAGTCCAATGTCTAACTGTCCATACATCTACTGCTGCAGAAGCTGTATGAGCTTGAGAGAATAGATGACACCTCAAAGAGGCCATCGGGACGAAAGAGTTACGAGAATGAGAGGATGGAAGATGACACCTCAAAAAGAGGCCATGGGGAAGAAAGAGGTATGAGAAGATGGAAGATGACACCTCAAAAAGAGGCCATCGGGAAGAAAGAGGTATGAGAATGAGAGGATGGAAGATGACACCTCAAAAAGAGGCCATGGGGAAGAAAGAGGTATGAGAAGATGGAAGATGACACTTCAAAAAGAGGCCATCGGGACGACAGAGGTACGAGAATGAGAGGATGGAAGATGACACCTCCAAAAGAGGCCAAAAGAGGTATGAGAAGATGGAAGATGACACCTCAAAAAGAGGCCATCGGGAAGAAAGAGTTACGAGAATGAGAGGATGGAAGATGACACCTCCAAAAGAGGCCATCGGGACGACAGAGGTACGAGAATGAGAGGATGGAGAGATGACACCTCCAAAAAGAGGCCATCGGGACGAAAAGAGGTACAGAAGGATGGAAGACACCTCAAAAAGAGGCCATTGGGAAGAAAGAGGTATGAGAATGAGAGGATGGAAGATGACACCTCAAAAAGAGGCCATCGGGACAAAAGAGGTACGAGAATGAGGATGGAAGATGACACCCAAAAAAGAGGCCATCGGGACGAAAGAGTTACGAGAATGAGAGGATGGAAGATGACACCTCAAAAAGAGGCCATTGGGAAGAAAGAGGTATGAGAATGAGAGGATGGAAGATGACACCTCAAAAAGAGGCAATCGGGACAAAAGAGGTACGAGAATGAGGATGGAAGATGAGACAATAAATGTAAGTATCATACATCTTCTGCTGCAGTCGAATGTCTACATAACCATCCATACATCTTCTGCTGCAGTCAAATGTATAACCATCTATACATCTACTGCTGCAGTCGAATGTCTACATAACCATCCATACATCTTCTGCTCAACCATCCATACATCTTCTGCTCAAGTCACATGTCTATATAACCATCCATACATCTTCTGCTCAAGTCACATGTCTATATAACCATCCATACATCTTCTGCTCAAGTCACATGTATATAACCATCCATACATCTTCTGCTCAAGTCACATGTCTATATAACCATCCATCTTCTGCTCAAGTCGCATGTCTATATAACCATCCATACATCTTCTGCTCAAGTCACATGTATATAACCATCCATACATCTTCTGCTCAAGTCACATGTCTATATAACCATCCATACATCTTCTGCTCAAGTCATGTCTATAACCATCCATACATCTTCTGCTCAAGTCACATGTCTATATAACCATCCATACATCTACTGCTCAAGTCGCATGTCTATATAACCATACTGCTGCTGCAGTCAAATGTCTAACTGTCCATACATCTACTGCTGCAGAAGCTGTATGAGAATGAGAGAATAGAAGATGACACCTCAAAAAGAGGCCATCGGGACGACAGAGGTACGAGAATGAGAGCATGGAAGATGACACCTCCAAAAGAGGCCATCAGGACGAAAAGAGGTATGAGAAGATGGAAGATGACACCTCAAAAAGAGGCCATCGGGAAGAAAGAGGTATGAGAATGAGAGGATGGAAGATGACACCTCAAAAAGAGGCCATGGGGAAGAAAGAGGTATGAGAATGAGAGGATGGAAGATGACACCTCCAAAAGAGGCCATCGGGAAGAAAGAGGTATGAGAATGAGAGGATGGAAGATGACACCTCAAAAAGAGGCCATGGGGAAGAAAGAGGTATGAGAAGATGGAAGATGACACTTCAAAAAGAGGCCATCGGGACGACAGAGGTACGAGAATGAGAGGATGGAAGATGACACCTCCAAATGAGGCCATCAGGACGAAAAGAGGTATGAGAAGATGGAAGATGACACCTCAAAAAGAGGCCATCGGGAAGAAAGAGTTACGAGAATGAGAGGATGGAAGATGACACCTCAAAAAGAGGCCATCGGGACGACAGAGGTACGAGAATGAGAGGATGGAAGATGACACCTCCAAAAGAGGCCATCGGGACGAAAAGAGGTACGAGAAGATGGAAGATGACACCTCAAAAGAGGCCATCGGGAAGAAAGAGTTACGAGAATGAGAGGATGGAAGATGACACCTCCAAAAGAGGCTATCGGGACAAAAGAGGTACGAGAATGAGGATGGAAGACGACACCCAAAAAAGAGGCCATCGGGACGAAAATAGGTACGAGAAGATGGAAGATGACACCTCAAAAAGAGGCCATTGGGAAGAAAGAGGTATGAGAATGAGAGGATGGAAGATGACACCTCAAAAAGAGGCAATCGGGACAAAAGAGGTACGAGAATGAGGATGGAAGATGAGACAATAAATGTAAGTATCATACATCTTCTGCTGCAGTCGAATGTCTACATAACCATCCATACATCTTCTGCTGCAGTCAAATGTATAACCATCTATACATCTACTGCTGCAGTCGAATGTCTACATAACCATCCATACATCTTCTGCTCAACCATCCATACATCTTCTGCTCAAGTCACATGTCTATATAACCATCCATACATCTTCTGCTCAAGTCACATGTCTATATAACCATCCATACATCTTCTGCTCAAGTCACATGTATATAACCATCCATACATCTTCTGCTCAAGTCACATGTCTATATAACCATCCATCTTCTGCTCAAGTCGCATGTCTATATAACCATCCATACATCTTCTGCTCAAGTCACATGTATATAACCATCCATACATCTTCTGCTCAAGTCACATGTCTATATAACCATCCATACATCTTCTGCTCAAGTCACATGTCTATATAACCATCCATACATCTACTGCTCAAGTCGCATGTCTATATAACCATACTGCTGCTGCAGTCAAATGTCTAACTGTCCATACATCT